TGGGCTTGAGTTGGAGCAAGCATTCCACAAGGGAAACATATTGTCAACATTGCAAGCAGCTCAAGGAAGATATTCACCCAATTTTTAATCTAGATAACCGAGGATATTGAGTTATATTCTCTATGCCTGCAATTTTATTTTTCAGCAGAAAATTCTCTGTTTGAGTTCCATTTTTGTGTTAGACAGTGCTGTGTTCAGTGATATTTGCTACTGTGAAGTTTAGTCTTTTCTTTCAATTTGAGGCTTAGAAAACACTTTCATTTGTTTTGTAATCCCCTTTCATGAATGTTAGAGCCAACAAATAACCACAAAATATGCATTTAGACATAACGAAAATTTCATAGTTTGAGGAAGTTACAAGTCTACAATATCTTATATTGTGAACAGAAAGCCACTTTATTTGTCCTACGGGATGAAAAGATACCTACTTAACAAAAAGAAAAACTAAAATGAAAGTTATAGCCCCTATGCCAATAATTGGGATATGTTTCAGCTCTACTGATATAGGTTATTGGTTATATATATTCTGTTCAAACGTTTCCCAAAACCAAACGAAATATCAAATGGAAGAGGCAAAGCTAGTTTTATAGGAAAAGGACAAACCTACCATACCATGCAGCATAACCTTCATATGATTCATTAACATATTAGTGATGTCACATAATTTTTTAACTTGATATTGACTCTCAGTTATAGTATGTCTTTTTCATTATCTACCCATTAAAATGGCACCTTCTCCCTCAAAATCTAGCACTATCATTTTAGTTAATTTATCGTCAGTTCCTCTCAGCATAGGTTCTGATCACATGTTTTCTGTACGGAAAGTCCTTCTTAAACCTACAAATATAGCCATTGTTTAACTTTTATATGCGACAATAAAAAAAATTAAAAAAAAACTGTGGAAAAACTATGCACACACACCATCTATATATAATTGAAACAATACTGATTAGACAGTCCATGCGACATAAGTAGGCAGCTGTCACAAAGAAGAGAAATATTCTGATACACATTGCTTTTTCTTTACCTTTGATATGAAAAAAAATCCAGTGTCATGTGATTCTCAAAGCTTTTTCGTATTCTTGTCCATTTTTTCCCTTCCTATCATTGGTTTGTGTCCAATTTTCTACTTCTAGCTTTGCGGCATCCTATTCTTCCGTTTCATAGCAAAAGTTGCCTACCCTCATATCTTTTCTCAACTAGCTAAACTAGCCACTCTCTTCAATTCCATCACCAAATTTTTCTCTCATCTTTTGTTTTCTCTTTTTCAAGATTCCAATGACGCCGTCCTTTTCAAACATGATGAAGTAGACCAGACATACACATGACTAGCTCAGAAAACTTGGAATGGAATCTGCAGAAAAAGTTACTTGTGGCCTTGTAGTATAACTAGAGCATGTTTGGATTAGATTTTTTTTTTTCTAACACTTTAGTTTGATTGATGGAAAAGGAACTGATACAATTACTGTTCAAGCATGTTTTGGTATCTAGATTATAATTTTAAAATGGTTTAATTTTTAGGCTCCTCAACTGTAGATTTCTTTATACTATCCAGTTAGGAATTGTGATTAGAAAGGACTCTTAAAGAAGTTACTGTTAAACTTAACAAATTTATCATGTATGCATGGTTGCTTCTTATATTAGACCACAACATAAAATTCTTTGTCTTACATTTTCACAAAGGAAATAATTTTTTTTATAATGGGTAAAATTTCAAATAAAAATCATCCGTTTTCAAATAACTTTATACCACTTTTGCCTTTTTTTATAACATATAAATATTTTTGAGAAAATTTAAACAAAAATGTACCTTAAAATCATTTTTCATCTAACGTATACAATTGTAAAGCTTATTCATATATACAATCAAGTATAGGAATAATTGAGAAAAATCTTTTGTCAATAATTGAAATAATTTTTTTTTCACCGTAGTTAGCAGATGAACTCATTGCTCTCACTTTGCTCAAGTGCTTATATAAATGGCAAACATGATTAGAGTAGAGAAGTGAAAGTTAAGCAAATGTGTGTTTCAAGTCCTGCAATGGATGCCATAAAAAGTTGAGAAAAGGGATAGGAATTATGGAATCTATAGAAAATTGATATAGGCCCAAATAATTTGAAGATTCTATTCCTCCTTCTTTTGGTCCATGTACTCTGGTATCTACGAAATTCATTGATTAGCAATCATGTTTAAGCATTATGCGACAGAAATTATTAAAAACAATGAAATAATATCTTATATAAGCTAAAGCAAAAAACAGCTCCAAAATAATAAAATAAAAATTCATTTATTAATATTATTTCTCATGAGTGGCATATTCATGAGAAAAGGTGCTACATACTAAAGAAGATGCCCTTCAAACGGTTAGAAAAACTATATTTAATTTACCAATTATTTTCAAAATAAATGTGCTCAATATACGGTTAATTATGCACCTTATTATATATAATTATTACTCAACTCTAATGCTATTGGAGAAGTATAAAGATGGTAACTTAATAAGAAAACATTTATTGCTGGTCCCCTCCCATATCTCTTATTCACTTCTAACTTCTTCCAAACTATATACCTTTGTGCCAAAAACTTTCCACAAAAACAAGGGAATAGTAGATTCCTCTCATAATTATCTTATTTAAATTAAACTTTGGTTGATGATGAGATAACCCTCCAAAACATAGTTAAATCATGTGTGACAGTTTCTCCAGTGAAGACAAATTTTTGAAGAAAGTAATTAGACTTGAATATAGTGTGGAGCCCCATGACAACTAGCTTTGTTAACACAATAATGGCTTATGCTTAAGTGCTTTATGTTTGAATTAGTTTATGTTCTGATCTTGCTTGAGAAGTTTGAGAGTGAGATTTGGTAAAAGTACTTTTGGAGCCCAAGACAAAATAGTTTATAATACTCTCTGGCCAATACACTCCAAGTCATAACTAGTGCCAAATGTTTGAAGATATGCCAATCTAGTAAGTTATAATTCTAATATTCTGCTATTATAATATGCTTTCTATTGTGCGAAATTTGTTTGTATTATGTCTCAATTTTCCTAATATAATACATTGAAAAGAAGAACAGCATCGGACCTTATCCCCAACAACCTTTTCCATACACTGTATTACACCTTATATACATGGTTGAGTACTAGGGTTGGCTTATTTTACGGATATAATTATATTATTAGCATTTTTTTAATATTCTAAAAAGATAATTAATTACCTTTGAAAACAAAACACGAATTAACTTAATTAAATACGTGTTCAATAATTGATTATCCTTTAAGAAAGGATTGCTTTTACTATTATCTCAAATTTAGTGATTTTAAATATAAACAACCTTTAAATAAAGTTTAGTTTACCTTGTTTCTGATTAATTACATAGTAAAACGTTGTTTACTTTATTTTCAAACAAAAAGTAATACTGTCACCTCTCACTAGATAGGTACTGTTCATTAACCTTAAACCTAATCTAACTAAAAGATAAATTATATATTTTTTGTGGCAACTGAATTTCTTGCACGGTTTTTATTCTTCTCGTTAGAAATAAGAAATTGGAATAATGACGTAAGCACACGTCATTCTAAATCTGGACCATCTCCAGAACTTTGTTGAAGATGAAAACATTTGTGGGCTTTCTCTTCTTTTTACATGTGCTTCCAATAGAAGCCCCTCTATGTGACAATTCATCACAAAGCACAATAGCATGTGTGCAACCATCACCACGATACAACCACATACACACACATATACATATACATATACACATATATATATATAATAGAAAATGTAAAGATGTAATTGAAAAGTTTGAAACAAAAACTGAAAGGGTGGAGTGGGCCAGTCTCTGACTTCCACTTACATATTCTAAAGAAATAAAGAAATGAAAAGTGAGATTTCCAATCAAATGAGATATCCCACATTCACTCACTCTTCTATATTTCAATGATTCAATCAATTTAGTTTTTCCTTTTCCTTGAACTAAAGTAGTAGTCCCAGCTCTATGCACAAAATAACAAGAAGAAAAATAAACAAAGCTCCTTTATCTTCCTCTAACAACAATTTTCTATCTAAGCTTACAAGAACTTCCCTATATTCCGCAACATAATTCTTTCTCACTCCTAATCCCCCACCTCTTATAGTTCTTCAATTATTAATACAACTTATAACTATATAAATATATATAAATTTTGCTCCAATGGTGCCAAAAATTGGCCAAATTACCTTGCCCCTCTTTCATCATGAAGTTGGTCCACTGTGACCCTTTTGCTGAAGGTCATTTTTCCTCTTCTCTCTATATCCTTTTATTAATATCTTGAATTTTTCCATAATCTCAGAAGAAGTAATTAACTACAACTTGACATCTCTCTTTTCTTTGATCTTATCATTCCCAATTTGGCCAGTTTCTTGATAAGACATATTGTCATAGTTGCTGAGGGTACTGCTTCCGTGCCACTTTTGCCACCCACTAATAAATTAGCTATCTGTAAGTTCCTCCAAACGTTGGTGTCCAATATTCAACTGTGGGTTCATGAGTCACTGGAAATGTACTAGAAACTGGCACCAAACATAGCCCTCGGCTTCTAAGATCTTGCTTTGGACCCTCAGATTCCTTCGATTTACCAGAACTCTGAATTCATAAAAGGACAAACAAAACAACATTATCAACATAAACCCTTCAAATTCAAACAAAATATCATTAACAACATTCTTCCTATAATAAAAAACAGATCCAATCATTTAAATTTCACGTAATCTTGTTATATTGAAAGTTTGAGTATACTGCTTTTTCCATAAACAACTAAAAAAATAAATCTAACAGAATAATACTATTATATCATATACAATTTTTTTTATAACTATTTTATTTTTTTAATATGTTTCTAATCAATGTAAATGTATATCATCGTATCATTATTTTTTATAAAAAAAAATCATTTATCTTCATAACAAAATCAAAAGCGAAAGTATTGTATTGCAGAAAAAGCTCTATATACTTTTCATTTTTTTAAAAATTTTTGTATATACATATATATTTGTAGAGAATTATACATACACGGGATCTTAGTTGTCAGTACAGGAATCATTAGAGGAATAGTATAATAAAATTCAACTCGTGAAAGAAATAAAATTTCAAAGTAGCAATATGACGAAAGAAGTTTGACGTAAAAATATTCAGTTTCATTCTGGAGCTATTTTTAAGAAAAGGAAATGTATAAATATACGTATATATAGTACCTGCTGATGCTGTATGGGAGCACCGGTTTTCATATAGGGGGTGCTTAAAACCTAAAAAAAGGAGAGAATGAATAAGATTAAAATTATCTAATTCAAACTATAATTTCTGAATAATCATATATGCATATATTAATGTGAGTTTTGATGGGACTTACGGTGACTTGTTCATGGAGGAATTTGATGTATTCAATGGCTTCAGAGAGCACTGACGCTGTATCAGTCTGACACACAACATTGCGAACAGATTTTAAAACTTGAAATCAATTAACAATATTAGTACAATCACACTTGCCATCATCTTTTTCTGCTTTCTTTTATATCATAAATACTCACAAGAAATCATGGTCATCCACAAAAGATATTAGAAAAGAATAGATGATTTTATCAGAAGCTCACCTTTCCGAAAGGTGAAACCAATTGTTGGAGTGCAGTGATTCTGTCCCCCATCTTCTCTTTTCTCACCTAAGAACAACACAAAGAGGTACACTACGGGTTCATATCCAATGTTTAAGGACTCAAAAATCGAAAAATATGAGCTAAAAGTATGTGATAAAGAATAAATAAAGAGAGAAAAATTAAAGATAAAAAGGTTAAAGCTAGCTTCCCTTCAACTTAAAAGTTCAGTTGCACTTATTGTACCTTAAAAGCTGGCAAAGGAGATGGGTTTTCGTTCCTGGGCCTTTTTGGTGCTGTTTCACTCCCACTTTTCTTCACCACACCCGACTCCCTAACTTCAGATAGATTCTGCAAAACCATGGTCAACAAAACCAACATAAACAACTCCTCTATTGCAGCTACTTCATTTCAACCCTAATGAAAATACAAACTTCATTATTTATTTCTTTAGTATTTAACCAAGAAAAAAGTTCTAATCCTTAATAAAAGTAAAACATGTCATACTTTTTATGTGTACATTATTGTAGTTAAGCGTAAAAGACAAGAAAATTGTAAATAAGAGAATAATAAAACAAAAAGCTGAACAGATTTTTCTAGATTTAAAGTATATTAACGAATCATCATATATCATAGTGTTATGATCGCATAGTGGTGGGGATTTTAAACAGTTGATATGAAGTTTTAAGTTTAAACTTAAATACTGAGATAACTTAATTGTGTATCTGTGTAGCAAAAGTGAAATGCAACCTTTGATTGAACATCGAAATTTGATGGCGAGAAGGGGGTTTGCAAAGAGGAGATGAAGCTGGATCGAGCCTCCTTTATAGCAGGTTCAGAATTAGCGTTCCAAAAGGGAGCGTTGTTGGTGAAATGCAACTGGTTATTGGGTAGTTGTTTTGGTGGTGAAGCTCTTAAGAACTGAGGCACCTTTGACCAAGAAGGCACTAACTCAATGTTTGAGCTTAATCCATAGCTTGTTGCTGAGTAAGGAAAATTCATGGAACGATTCTCAAAAGAAGCACTACCACCTTGGTGGGGTTGTTGGTTATTGCTCTCGTGTCCCAAAAGTCCTTGCAATATTGAAGAAGGGTTACCGACATAATCCATCTGAAAAGAACAAGGCAAACCTTGGCTTGTGACAGTGCTGTCCCCAGAGCTATATTGAGGACTGAACTGTGTTTGGTCCAAGGAGAAACCCCTCTTGAATTCATTGCTTGATGACTCCGCAGAGAACAATTTTTCTGGACTCCAATGAACTTGTTGATGATGAGACAACGCAATATTGTTATTCCCGCTTTCTTGCTGAAACGTGGTGCCTGGAGAGCTCAAATTCTCTTGCAACATCGACCTGAAACTGCCTTCAGAATCCTTCTCACCTCGTCTACATCAAACATACACACAAAAGTTACAACTTAGCAAAGTTTTAGAAAAAGGGTTTGCAACCACGATTTCAGTCATAACCGTGAAGGCTTTTGCTGTCGCCATCACAATCATGGCTGCATCGGTCGCATTTTTCTACAATTTCTCACAATGGCAAAGATTGCATAGAAACCGAAGCAACTTCGACGGTGAACATCACTACAATTTAATACCTTTAAAACTGCTTTTCTTTTCTTCAATGTTATTCCATTCTGGTAAGGTAGAATGAAAGAAGGGAAAGAAAAACAGAAAACGAAAGATCCAATTACTTTTTCTTTTCTTTTTTTTATTTTAGTTTTTGGGTACTACTTTTTAGTAGTATTGTTGTAGAAGTCTTTGTCTTGACACAGACTACACTTACAGCTGCAAAGATGCTTGATTCCAGTCCATGGCTTGGGATGAGAGGCCCAAGCCCATCATGTGCAAGTTGGGATGGTCATTGGTGGGATTTGTGGCTGATGAGTCATGATGTGGCTGAACTTGAAGCTGCTTCTGGTCATGGAAAACCACAGAGGAACCTCCTGAGGCAGAGTTATCCATGGAAGAAGACCTAGCCATGTCTTGCTGCCAAGCATAGTTTCCCATGTTGGTGAGGCCAGAAGAAGAAGACTGCGTTTCACCACTCTCAAACCTCACGTTTCTTGCTGATTCCCACCAGTTTCCACTTGCTTGAAACTGATCATCTGACATGGCTGAAACTTCTTCTGCTTCACCCTTCACATAAACATGAAAGTATTTGATAAAACTAAGGATGTTATGTATGTCAGTTTGTGTTATTAGAGTGTGTGTATCTTTGTGGAGCTGTGTGAACTGTGAAGAACTGAGAGTAACAGAAATGAATGAATGGAAAAGGGTTCGAAAGTTTGGAGTATTTATATTGGGAAGTGAAGGGAGAAAAATGGGTTTGGTGAGGGAATGGGAACAGTGACAAACTAAGACGAATATCGTTGACGCTCTTTGACAATTCAGGGGGTGATTAGACAGTGGAATTAAATTAAAGCTCATTTTAAAAAATCAGAATTTGACTTATTCTTTATTATTATCATTGTGCACAATTTATCTTTTCCTTCACGTCTGCCCGCCGTCTAGAAAAACTGATTTTTCTTCTTCTACTCAATAACCTTAGTAAATATTGTGGAATTAAACCAATTTTTAGATTCCTACGAGATTTTACTATAACAATCCTTTTAAAGATTATTACAACAAAATATATCTTCTGTTAAGATAAAAGTTTATAAGTCTTCAAAATACATACATGTCGAACACATCATAGATGCATTCAAGTATCATATATTTATGTAATCATACTCAATCACATATAATATATCACTTGAACCATCTAGATCTAATCATTGACGTATTATACCAAATAATAGGGTGCGAAAAAGTCTCTGATAAAAACATCAAATAAGGTTTTCAATTAGATGAACTAACTAAGCATAATGCTTACAAATGAGAACCAAGAAGATGAAAATTCTCCAAAACAAAGTTGTTGATGCGAGGTTGTTTTCTCCCAAACTAGACTTCCGATTGACGATCCGAGCGGTCAGAATGAAGAACCATACGTCTCGAACCCATTGTCCAAAATTCAGTCCGATCCAATAGTGAACGACTTCACACTGACGAAAACACCAGTACAAGTTTTATGTTATGCGGGAATGACTTCTTCTCTTCCTTTCTTTGTCACTTGGTTTTTCCCTTCTCTTCAAATGACTCTATTGTGTCCTACTAATTTGACCCATCTAAAATAAAGTAAGACATAATGGTCCACATTATTTGGCATATTCTCCACATAGGAAGGGAGCTCAATAACCCAACACTTACAACTTATATTTGCATGGAAACCCTCAAGCAACATAACTTTGTTCTCCCTTAGCATCAAACCCTCTATTGGAATAACCCAACAAAACATACATAATACATTCATAGGGAAATATCATCACGAATATTACATAACCACAGATAATCATAATCATATACACATTTATCAAAACAAGGATTACCAATCAAGATAATTAAGAACAAATATAACATACAACCATAAACAAACAAAGGTAAGTTTCCCCATACCTTGGCCAATCATAAGGCTTTATCTACAATCCTAAAACACTACCAATCTTCTTTTACACTAAGAGTTTCTCGTCGTTCTCTTTGTTCTTCTCCCAAAACGTCAATCCCTTTCTTTCTTTGATTTAGAGTTTCTACGGTTTCTAAACATCAAACCACCCCTTAATAAATTTCCACACCAATTAAATAAAGGTAAAAGACTCTGTTGGCCCTAGGCAAAAATATAAAAATAAAGAAATAACATAACAATTATGTTTTAACAAAAATATACACTCAAGAACACTAATTTTCAAACTAAAACCCAAAGTTTCAACTACTTTATCTTTAAAACCCTTATTTTCCCGAATCTTACAGGTTATATTTAAATTCATCTGATATCATTGTTGATAAAAATTTAAAGATGCATGCATGTTTATTTTCTGTTTTTAGCACAAATAGAAAACTTTTTACTAAAATTTTAAAAATATTTGTTATCATTAAAAATAAAAATTTAAAAATTAACAAAATTGTACACAGCGACTTGTACTTCATAGAATTAAAGAAAATAAATTTTGACGTATGGCTAGATTGAGTCCAAAGTTTCAAAACTTTTATGTCTCCTCCCCAAAATAAGTCTATAGAAGGTAATGTTTGAAATAAGTATGGGGAGACGAATAATAATTAGGATTTTTTTCTCTTTTTTTGTTTTCTGTTTTTCAATTTTTGTTTTATTTCCATTAAAAAATCATGATTTCTTTTTGAGAAAATTGTGAAAGCATTAACCTTGTACTTGGTGAAATTTTTACACAGTATATCTCATAAGAAATTTATCCAAAAATATTTTCTTGTTTTCAATAAAACATATTAACTTTGGATTTTAAGATTTGCATTAGTAACTATAACTTTTGTAATCTTGAAGTAGTAGTCATGTTTTATGTTCAATTGATTAGAAGCTAGCCTAATTGATTCATAATTATAAATTATTAATTGAGTTAATTTGAGAAATACTTGGTTAAATCTTTTGTGAAAGAGTTTTTAGCCTTGTGAGTTTTGAGCCTAATTATGATGGATGAACCACCATGTGTCATTCCTATTTTTCTTGAGTGACTTACTTATGTTTTGTTTATACTCTAATATTTAGCTTGATTCTATTGTTTTGTAACTTAGGTAGATATGACATTTCTTTTTTCTAGTTACTTGGCCAAATAAGACCATATTTACTTCAAGATGACTTCTTGGATGCTCCTATAACCAAAACTCAATGAAACGGTTAGTTATGAAAGTGATAGCAATTGAATTGTTTTGAAACAGAGCTCAAGACGCATATTTATAGGATTTTTTGAATCTTGATGCATTATAATCGATTAAGAAGTTTATGTAATATGTTAAGCTTTTCCTTCTGATTTACAAGTTTGCTTCTGTTTTAACATATTATCCAAGCATGTAATCGATTATATAATCTCACTAGCTAGTTATAAATTCATTTGGTCGTTATGATAGTTCAGACTATTAAATGAAATGGAATTGAACAAGGTAAACTGATTTAACCGATTATACAACTTATGTAATCGATTAATCCTGTACTTAAGAAAATTTTCAATCCAATTTCCATTTTAAACAAATTAACTCACTAAGGATGCATCATTAGTTGATAACCCATAAAGATTCATTCATGAAAGTGAGCTACAACAATTCTGATTTGATTTACACTGCTGGAGTGTCACTAGAAGATCAGATACATCATATACAATATGAGTATTGTGTGCATGTGCAGGTGTGCCAGGGGAGAGAGTTGTGATTGTTCTTTGTGAGAGTTGTAATTATTTTGAAGGTGTTAAGAGAGATGTGATTGTTCTCTATATTTTAAGAGAGTGAGGGTATTCATTTCTTGTTCTGCTATAGTGATTTTGAGTGTGGAGAGAAGTACATTAAGAGGGGTATCTATGTATTCTAGTAAAATCTATCATTATAGTGAAATCCCTTCAACTAAGTTTATTGAAGGAAGACTGGATGTAAGTTTGGCCGAACTAGTATAAAATGTTTGTCTTAATCTTTATCTACCTTTTTCTCTTTTATTGTTTATTCATGACTTCTTGCTTATTGATTTCAAGAAAACTAAGATTTTACAAAGCTTTTGAAAAGATCAATCTTTTAAGGTATAATCCAATTCACCCCTCCCCTCTTGGCTTGAGATATAAGGCATCTTTTTTCTAATAATTGGCACCAGAGTTGGGAATTTAAAAATTACTCAAATTTTAATCGATTACTTTCTTTGTTTAATCGATTAAAACATTCTTGATGGCCAATATATCTCAAACTATGAGATGTTGTGATCAATAGTCCTCATGAATCAATCAAGACAAGAACTGAAAAGATCAAAGTCAAAGGTTTCTCTACATCAAGAAGGTTAAATCAAGAAGAGAAAGGAAACATAAACACCTTGAAGTCTGATGTTGGAACTACTATGAAAACTGCACAAAGTCTAGAGAATGAAGAGACAAATCTGATGGTAGAAAGGTTTTCAAAAATTTTAACATGCAAAAGAAAAACTGACTTGAATTTTGGAAGGAACAAAGAGAACTTCAGAAATAAGGATCAAGGCTCTGCCTCGTCCAGTAATGAATATGAAAGAAAAGGAAACATTGAGTTGAGGCAAGGCCTGCAAGAAGAAAATGAAGGTAGGAGTGAACTTAGCAAGGCCTTTGAACAACTAACAGATTTAACCATGATGGCCAAATCTACACAAGCTGAAAACAATGAAGAAAAATGTGACAAAGAGGCCAAGTGGTATTTTGACAACAAATGCTCTAGACACATGACTGAAGATCCTTCAAGGTTTAGCAGCTTGTCTCACAAAACAAGTGGGCACGTCACGTATAGGGATAATAATAAGGGTAAAATTGTTGGTATTGGTAAAGTACAAACTCCCTCCTCATACATCATTAAGAATGTCTTACTTGTTGATGGTCTTAAACATAACTTACTTAGCATTAGCCAATTATGTGATAAGTATAACACCCCAAATTTCAGGGTGAACCGGGTTATTACAAAAACCGATAATTTTCAAAATTTTATTATAGCGCATAAATGTATTTTCAAAAACCTCAACATTTAAACTTGCATCGCATAATAGTTTCAAAATACTTGTCCAATTGCATTATTTAAATAAAACCATAATAATGAAGAAAATAAAATAACTCCAATTACATTGTCTTAAAAACTCAATAGCAATATTTTCATCTATAGCATTATTTGCTCCCGTATAACATCACAAAAGTAGCATGTGTTGCACTTATTAAAATAAAATAGATAGACACACACATAAATTATACACTGGTCAAAAATCGAACACATCACCAACTTAGTCTATCACTTCCAAGTTCTATATTTTTGCTTGAGTCTTACATTCACCTCTCCTTAAAAGAATTTTTGTCCCCGAAATTTGATTTACTCAACAAAAAGATAAGGATGATGTACTTGAAAAACACTAAGGTGTTGGTGAAAACAACCGCTATCGTCGAGTCGCGTAGCAGAATAAAATAACGGAAAGCGTGTTACGATCAATTTAAAAAATGGTTCCTTTAATTTTCTTATAAACGTTTTATCGAACAGTTGATGTGCAAAAAATATAAAGAGTGTAGAGAGTAGAAAAATTACACAAATGATTTTTATCCTGGTTCGAATCAAAAGATTCTACGTCCAGTCTTTAATCACTATGAATAGTGATTAACCTTTTCACTGAAAACAGTTTCACAGTTACAAAATAGTGAATGAAAATCTAGAATAGCAAAACCTTGCTTCGACAAACGAACGGAAGAAACTTCCTTCAACAAACGAACTGGAAGCAACAGCTCT